GTCCCGGTTGGTGGCACCAACCGGGACTAAAGGCGGCATTGGTCCCCGTTGGTCTCACGAACCGGGACTAATGCACCCCTTTAGTCCCGGTTGTTGCCACCAACCGGGACCAATGAGCCTTGCACAACGGCGTGGTGGTGGCAGTTTAGTCCCACCTCGCTAGCTGAGAGAGAACCGCACCTGTTTATAAGGTGCGATGCGCCAACCCTCTCGAGCTCCTCTCTAAAGCAGGCTTTCGGGCCTAATCTGTCTCTATGTGCATGTGGGCCTACTAGGCTTACTACGGGCCTGCATCCTGGCCCATTGTTGGGTTTCTAGTCGTATTCAGGCCGTGGAGGCTCAGTAGGTGGCACTTTTTTGTTTTTTTGTTTTCTTTACTTATTGTTGCTATTTTTTTCCAGCTTTTTTGTTTTGTTTTCTGCATTATTTATTTTCTTTTGTTTTTTGCTTTATTTTTTTAATTCTTTTTGCTTTTAGTTTTAGAAAAATTATAAACTTTTTGTTAGTGCCATTAGTTTTAAAATTTGAAAACACTTTTTTTTGTTTTTTTGTTTTCTTTCTTGCTTTATTTATTTTATTTTGTTTCTACTTACAACAAAATACTTATTGTTGCTATTTTTATTTTTTTCCAATTTTTTGTTTTGTTTTATGCATTATTTATTTTCTTTTGTTTTTTGCTTTATTTTTTAATTCTTTTTGCTTTTAGTTTTAGAAAAATTATAAACTTTCTGTTAGTGCCATTAGTTTTCAAATTTGAAAACACTTTTTTTTGTTTTCTTTCTTGCTTTATTTATTTTATTTTGTTTCTACTTACAACAAAAAGTTTCAGAACCAAAAGTCTCATGAAGATTATCCATGGTTACGGCGGAATAAGGAAAGGACACAAGCGAAGAAAAAGTGAAGACTTACTCCACAACTATTGTGATGATACCATGCCAACTTTCAACCTTTTTCTAGTTCATTTGAAATGCATGTTGTAACAGACAAGTTTCCGTATGAAATCCTGATACTTCGAAAGAGATTGTCCGTTTTGTACACGAAGTGGATCCAGTTTTTTCCGTAACCCTCTCAACTTTCTTGCATATGCTATTTGGATGAAATGATGATACCATGCCAAAATAAAAGAGAGGCGCAAAGCTCACCTGCACGTTGCTTAGCTTCAGGCCAATGTGCAGGTGAGCACTGTGCTTCTCCCTTCATCATCTCTACACTCAGGGCTTATAAACCGCTGCGAGTGCCTCTCACTTGGCGAGGTGGGACTAAAGAATAGCTGCAGAAAGAATCAACTAAAAAACTCTTTTACCGGTTCATGTCACGAACCGGTACTAAAAGGTGCTCATGGGGCCCCAGCCTTAAAACCTGTACCAAATAAAATGCCTTTGTAACGGCCTTAGAATTGGTACTAAAGGAATCAACTAAAAAGCTTTTATAAACCTCTAGTATTATTGAAACTAAATTTATATAGAATTTCGTTACAAACTTTAATAGCAAAAAGAATTATCAGAAAAGAAAATAAATAAGTAATTAGGATTTAGTTCAAAACATTAAAAGCAAAAATAATTATCATAAAAGAAAATAAATAAGTAATTAGAATTTTGTTACAAACTTTAATAGCAAAAAGAATTATCATAAAAGAAAATAAATAAGTAATTAGAATTTTGTTCAAAACATTAAAAGAAAAAAGAATTATCATAAAAGAAAATAAATAAGTAATTAGAATTTTGTTACAAACTTTAATAGCAAAAAGGATTATCATAAAAGAAAATAAATAAGTAATTAGAATTTTGTTCAAAACATTAAAAGCAAAAAGAATTATCATAAAACAAAATAAATAAGTAATTAGAATTTTGTTACAAACTTTAATAGCAAAAAGAATTATCGTAAAAGAAAATAAATAAGTAATTAGGATTTTGTTCAAAACATTAAAAGCAAAAGGAATTATCATAAAAGAAAATAAATAAGTAATTAGAATTTTGTTACAAACTTCAATAGCAAAAAGAATTATCGTAAAAGAAAATAAATAAGTACTTATTGTTGCTATTTTTAATTTTTTTTTTCAGTTTTTTTGTTTTGTTTTCTGCATTATTTAGCCATTGGTCCCGGTTCGAGCCACCAACTGGGACCAATGGTGGTGGGCCAGGAGCGAGGACCATTGGTCCCGGTTCATCCCACCAACCGGGACCAAAAGGTCCAGACGAACCGGGACCAATGGCCCACGTGGCCCAGCCGGCCCCCGGGGCTCACGAACCGGGTCGAATGCCCCCATGGGTCCCGGTTCTTGACTGAACCGGGACTGATGGGCTGACCCGGCCTGGACCTTTGCCCCCTTTTCTACTAGTGTAATACTGATGATCATGTGCTAACAACAATTAAGTAGGGTTGGTTCGATGAGTATGAGGATGATGATCATATGACTTGTTATTAATAACGAGTAGAAGTTGTATGATGATGATTAGTAGGACTCGTTATTATGATGATGCATGATGCAAGCATGAAGAGTTATTATATATCAGTGGGTGAAATGAACATGGATTGGATTGAAGTGAAGGCAACATGCATGTGGTGCATGTCAAAAGTAGTACAATCCAAATTTGATCAAGTTAGGATTAGTATTACTTTCGACATGCACCACATGTTGCCTTCACTTCAATCTAAGCCATGCAGTTGATCATCATTGCGTGTTTACTCTTGTTGATCATCATGCAGTTGAATATTGTTTCATATGAAGAAGCTAACCTAAAAGCAGCCTGCATCATTCACAAGCTACCATTAGCACAAACATGGGCCACCTATGCTCAACAAGGGAAACGTGGAGGACACCACTCAGATGAGAACTACTGATACTGCATCTCCACCATTGATGCAGCATGCTATGTAAATGACCCTCGGATGCAGATTTTTCATGAGGCCTGCTCTGAGCACCACCTTCTGCCCGGGCAAGGGGTTGCAGGGAAAGCCGTCACCACAAACCAGCCGTGCTTCCTACCAGACATTGGATCTTCAAGTGAACAGGAGTACCCATTATGTCACCATGCTAAGATCTTCAAGTTGAAAGGTGCAGTGGCAATCCGGTTAAGGTGCACACGCGTTGGGGTGGCGGACTTCGTGCTGGAGTTCTTTCTGCCGAGGGACTGTGGAGTACTGGAGGAGCAGAAGGCAGTGCTGGACTCCTTGTGGGGAACCATGCGAAGTCTTTCCAAAACACTACGCGTGGTTACAGACAAGGAGATGGAGGACGACGCAATGTCGGGAATGAATGAGATCAACTCGGTTGATCTTCAGAAGAAGAAGGCTATGAAAAGAAAACCAATGGCGCGGAGGTCGCTTGTGTGGAAAAGCTTTACAGAGGTCGCGGTTGGAGATACTGCTAAGGCTAAGTGCAACCATTGTGGTCTTGAGCTTTGCTGTGACTCAAAAACCCACGGTACATCCTCATTGAGATCTCACTTGAAAAGGTGCAAACTTAACCCCGATAATAGGATCATGGGCCCCTTGTAAGCAAAGTACGTACTAGGTACTTTGCATCTGCAACAAGGGGGATAGTAGCTACCGAAGCAGGGTCAGAGAATAATGTCGACGTAATGCTTGAAGTTGTGTCCTCTTTTGTTTTTTATTGGGTTTGTTGAGCTGGTGCCCTCAGCAGAACCCCCCCCCCCTCCTGTTTGTTTCCGTGAGACATTGTGGAGGTTGCTTTATATATAAAGAGGGGCCAAAGCCTATTTCCATAATAATGTCAACTCATGTTTTGTCTTATGATCTTTTGAATTGAATGTTAATTCTCCCGCACACAAAAAGAATGTTAATTCTACCATGAGTTTTGGTATATGTGCATTGTCGGAGGTCATGATTTATTAGATAGCTGCTTTTTTTTTCTTTCAAAGAGAAATGTATGGATATGATTTGGTGAACACTTTGTCAATCTTATTTTCATTTTTGCATTGCCGAAATAGATAAACATGTATTTTGGGTTTTTCGAAGCCTGAAGGCTTGTCATCCACGGCTGCTACTTGCATATGCAACCTGCGTCAAGATCCAACTGAGGTTTCTCATTTGCCTCATGAAAAGTCAAATTCCTGAATCCTTATTCCAACCACCATATATGCAATCTTGTACAAACACATGTGTTCATAAGAGAAAGTTCACCATCATACATGTTCATATCCTTAAACCGGTCATTAAATTCCCATTGCATTCCAACTAATTTCCCCGCAACCGCACGCTAGATGATTAGCACCACTAGTGACCAAGTCCCAAGACTAGGTCCTTAGTCCTTGTGCCAACCAAGCAATGACAGGTGTGTGTGCAAACATTCCATGAAAAAGCAACGAAAAATAAAAGTTTCAACCATGATAACATTCCTCAAAACAAAATATTGCCACGGCTCGGGTCAAACAAATCACCAATTGCTGCTGGAATTGAGCCACAAGCAGCCAGCACGCGGGTTGACCCTCCAACCTCCGACGCAGTCTGGCCACCATCGATCGAATCATTGCTCCATAACATCCGATATCATCCATCAATCCCGTCTCATCCCCATGTGACGATCCATGAAACACCATCACCATCAGCAGTAAGAAGCAGATCATCAAGGTCTCCGCCATGGAGTCGTCTGCGGCGAGGAGGCAGCCCAGCACGAGCAGCAGCAGCATGAGCAGCCAGCAGGTCTCGGGCTTCAGCAATTACAGCAGGGCGGCCTCCGACGGGTATCCATACCCTTCTGGCTCCCCGGACACATACCGGCACCGGCGGCAGGCGTCGTCGTACAGCGCCCCGTTTTCTTCCCAGCTGAGCCGGAGCTCAACCCGCAGCAGCAGCAGCTCGTTCAAGGCGGCGGCGCGGGGCGTCGCCGGCGTGTTCGGCACCTGCTTCGTGCCCCGGGTCAGGAAGGCCCAGTCAGAGCAAGAACCGGAGGTCTCTCAGGTCTCTCGTGGGAGCAGGAGTGGAGGGTACTCTCAGGGGAGCAGGAGTGCGGGCTTCCATGTCTCCACGGATTCAGGTACCATTAAGACTTCATCCTCTGTTTTGTTGCCAGTACAATTTTTGTTAATCATGATCCTCCTCTGGGTTAAGCATCGAATTAATCAGCGTGAAAATTCTTTAGAAGATCGGAGTATTCATGGACAAATTTGATTGCAGCAGGGACAGGCAAAGGCAAGGAGGGTGCAGGGCTCACCGTTGCAGACATATTCAGGGCGACATCGAACTTCAGCAAGAAGAACATGGTCAGGGAGGGAGCTTCTTGCAGCGTCTTTAAAGGGAAGCTCAGGGACGGCTCCCAGGTTGCCGTCAAACGTGCCAGAAAGGTCTGGGGAAACAACATCATACTAATATTTGGCAACTGTCAGGAGCAACTAATATGTCTGAATATTTTGTTGCTGCAGTTAAACTGTCAGTATCTATCTGCTGAACTTAGCAGGGAGCTCGAGACGCTTCAGAAGATCGAGCACCAGAATTTGGTGAGGTTCCTCGGGTTCTTCGAGCAGAGAGATGAAACTCTGGTCGTCGTCGAGTATGTCGACAATGGCTCCCTAAGGGAACACTTGGATGGTATGCATTCACAAGCAGTGTTGAACTTTGCAGTCACATTCCTACTGGTCACTAGCAGTGTCCAACTTATCAACTGATCATTGATAGTGCTGAAATTTGCATTCACATTTCTAATTCAGTTGGCTACATTTGCCAGAAAATAAATATTTCATGCAATTTCATTACTCCATATTACTTGTCGCTCACTTAGTAGTACAACTTTGTCGGAGGGAGTTGAAATAGTACTCAACTAGTGATAAATATATTGTACAGAAGTAATTACAACACTGGAAAGATGTACTGACCAAGATTTTTGCAAAATTCAGAGTCGCGCGGAACCGGGCTAGAACTTGCGCAGCGGCTCAACATCGCGATCGACGTTGCTCACGCCGTCACCTACCTGCACGAATACGCAGGTAACCCAATCAAAACTCATTGTTCATAGTAGTAAGAAACAGAGGAAGTGAACGATGAAAGGCAGTATCAGTAGTATTAATAGCTAGCAGCGTGTGCATGATGGTGTTTATCTGAACTTGGAAACGCATGGCATGGCATGGCAGAACGGGCGGTGATCCACCGGGACATCCGGTCGTCGAACGTGCTGCTGACGGGCGCGCTGGCGGCGAAGGTGGCCGGGTTCGGGCTGGCTCGGGTGGCGGGCGACGGCGAGGCGACGCACGTGACGACGCAGGTGGTGGGCACGGCCGGGTACGTGGACCCGGAGTACCTGGGCACGCTCCAGCTCACGGACAAGAGCGACGTCTACTCCTTCGGCGTGCTCCTCGTGGAGCTCGTCACCGGCCGCCCGCCCATCGAGCGCCGCCGCGGCCTCGAGCCCCGCGCCACCACCAAGTGGGCGCTGCAGAAGTTCCGGGGAGGCGACGCGGTGGTGGCCATGGACCCGAGGGTGCGGCGGAGCCCGGCCTCGGTGGCCGCGGTGGAGGGGATGCTCCGGCTGGCCGAGCAGTGCGTCATGCCGGCGAGGCAGGACCGGCCGTCCATGCGCCGGTGCAACGAGGCGCTGTGGACCGTTCGAAGGGACTTCCACCGGAGGCAGGAGCCGCGGCAGGACGGGACTGCCGGCGCCGCCGCCGCCGCCGCCGCCGGGGACAGGGGCTCCGAGTGGGTTAGCCGATGATGTCCACTCCACACGTGTATAGCCAAAGTTGCCGTGCTTTGGAAAATTCCGGCCACGACCAATGTTTGTACTACGAAGATTTTCAGTTCTTTTTAGTAGGAAAAAAAAAGGTTACTACACTTGTAAAGCGAAACAAGTTTATGAACTCGTGTTTTGCAAATACTTTTAAATTTTGAACAAATAAAGCAAAAGGATCCGGAGAAATCTGCTCGAAATATCCTCCGGCAGCATCTCAACTTCTCAAGCACATGGTAAAGTAGGAATTTGCTTTTAAAATACGACTGAAACTGGGTTCTGCTATTTCTCAAGCAACTAATAACCATTTGAATAAACACTGAGACTTATGTAAGTATAAATGGACTAGAAGATATGTATCCAACAGCTATGAAACAGTCACTCCTAACTGAAGAAGGTGTTGCTGATTAAATCTTTGTTGGAAACTCTACGAACCTAGGTGGGATTTTAGTACAAGCAGAGATCAGCTCGTCATCTCACTAATAAAACTGCAAAGGTCAGGAAATATTTTCGATTATCATTCTCAATCCCCAGCCTGTGCTTTCAGAGAGAAAACAGAAACCAAGCACTTCAGAATCTGGACCCTTGTACAAGAACAACAACAGTTGACTTGCAACCGCCATGCTTAAACTGCTTGACAAAAACAGACCAGCTTGATGATGGATTTGTCCATTATGCAACGTACCACTGCTGCGCGGCACACCGGAGATGAGTTAGCCCTCGCCAGCGACAACAGTCTGCCACGATCTGTAAAGATACCAAGCACAAAACTCATGACCAACTCGAGAATTTATAACTCATTGCGGCATTACTTGTTCTTAGTGTAAAAGATTTCATAAATGGATTTTAGATGTCAACTTCAGCTATGCCAGAAAATAACACAGTTTTTACAAGAAAATCTAAAGCAAGACAACAGGATGATATTATATCAACAAGCTTATTCAATTATTTAGCAATCTCCATTTCGCCTAGCAACCGAGTTCATGCTTCCGGTGGGATTTTATTTGGAGTTAAATGTGATTTGTTGGAAGTTCGGAATGTTGTCATGGAAGATTTTGCGGTTAAGTTTCAGGTCCGGTCGAAGGTCAATGGGTTTAATTGGGAATTGTTGGCGGTGTATGGCACCGCGCAGCCTGAACTCAAACCATACTTTTTGGCGGATTTAGTTCGTATTTGCGGTAGCGAGCAGCTCCCAATTCTGGTTGGGGTGATTTTAACATTACCCGTAGACGGGAGGAAAAAAACAATGATAACTTTGACGGCAGATGGTCGTTTATGTTTAATACAATCATTGAAAGCTTGGATCTTCGAGAGGTTGAGCTTTCTGGTAGAAAATTCACTTGGGCCAATATGTTACCAATCCCGGCGTTTGAGAAGCTAGACCGGGTCCTAGCTAGCGCTGAATGGGAGCAGAAGTTTCCCCTCGTGACGGTCCAAGCGCTCTCTCGCGCGATCTCCGACCATACCCCATTATTGGTTGACTCGGGAGAGGCAACGCATGTGGGGAACAAGAATACGTTTTCTTTCGAATTAGCGTGGTTTGAAAAAGAAGGGTTCCTGAATCTAATAGCAATAGAATGGGCTAAAGATTCAGGAGGGAGATCGAATGTTAAGAGATGGCAGAATAAGATTAGACATTTAAGGCAGTTCTTACGTGGTTGGCCCAAACACCTGAGTGGGATATATAAGGCTGAGAAGGAAAGTCTCCTTTTACTTGTTCAATCCCTAGATTTAAAAGCCGAGTCCTCCATTCTAGATACCAGAGAGCTGAAAACTAAAGTGGGGGCGGAAATAAGATTGAAAGATCTGCTTCGTGAGGAGGAATTGAAGTGGGCACTTCGAGCTAAAGTTCGCAAAATCTTCCAAGGGGATGATAACACATAATTCTTCCATATGATTGCCAATGGCAAGCATCAAAAGAAGAGAATCTTTTAGCTTGAGCAAGATGAGGGGATGATTTTAGGACAGGAGAACCTAAAAGTATATATCACCAATTACTATAAGCAGTTTGTCGGTGTCAAAACCGGCGGATCTCGGGTAGGGGGTCCCGAACTGTGCGTCTAGGCGGATGATAACAGGAGACAAGGGACACGATGTTTTTACCCAGGTTCGGGCCCTCCCGATGGAGGTAAAACCCTACTCCTGCTTGATTAATATTGATGATATGGGTAGTACAAGAGTGGATCTACTACGAGATCAGAGAGGCTAAACCCCAGAAGGTAGCCTATGGTATGATTGTTGTTCGTCCTACGGACTAAAACTCTCCGGTTTATATAGACACCGGAGAGGGCTAGGGTTACACAGAGTCGGTTACAATGGGAGGAGATCTTCATATCGTATCGCCAAGCTTGCCTTCCACGCCAAGGAAAGTCCCATCCGGACACGGGACGGGGTCTTCAATCTTGTATCTTCATAGTCCGGGAGTCCGGCCAAAGGTCATAGTCCGGCCATCCGGACACCCCCTAATCCAGGACTCCCTCAGTAGCCCGTGAACCAGGCTTCAATGACGACGAGTCCGGCGCGCAAGTTGCCTTCGGCATTGCAAGGCGGGTTCTTCCTCCGAATACTTCATAGAAGATATTGAACACAAGGATAGTGTTCGGCTCTGCAAAATAAGTTCCACATGCCACCGTAGAGAGAATAATATTTGCACCAACCTAATCTGCTGACGTATTCCACAGCGTGACGTCACGACACGGCCAGGCCTTTATTCGAATCGTTTTACTGTTCCACCTTAGTGCGTTTAGCGAGGCGGTTTCCTTGGCACGTCTTGTCAAAGCAGAGATCGTGTCCCCTTATTCCGGGATTCTCATCAATACGGGCGTGGGTAACCCAACCATGCCTTTGGTATGACTCCCTAATTGAAGGCGAGTCCCAAACGGTTACAGGGAGGGCTCTTGATATTCAACTCCTTTATAAAGAGACCAAGGCTCGACTCCTTTCTTCTCAATCCAATCGAATCCACCCCTCGCCTCGAGTTCCAACACCCAAAGCTCTAGTTTTTAGGCGCTTCGGACCTTCGATGATGTCCGGCTCCGACCTTCAAGGCCGGTGGATGCCTTCCTCCGTTACGAAAGAAGATGTGCTAAAGCTGAGAGATGCCAGGTATCTAACCGGCGAAATCTTGCATAGGCTGCCTGCTCAAGGGCAGGCCATTCCCACTCCCTAGCCTGGTGAGAGCGTGGTGTTCGCATCTCACTTCCTTCGGGGGCTAGGCTTCCCGATTGATCCCTTCGTGAGGGGGCTTATGTTTTATTACGGGCTGGAGTTCCACGACTTAGCTCCGGAGTCCATCCTCCAAATCTCATCGTTCATTGTCGTGTGTGAGGCCTTCCTCCATATCACTCCTCACTTCGGATTGTGGTTAAGAACCTTCAAGGTGGAACCGAAGATGATCGAGGGGCAGCACATTGAGTGCGGAGGAGCTATAATAAGCAAGATGGCTGACGCTCCATGGCCCAAGGGCTCTTTTCAAGAGGAGTTCGGTTTATGGCAACGGGACTGGTTTTACATCACAGCCCCCAGGGGCACCACAAGGGTGGCGCCACCTACTTTTCGCTCGAGTCCCCCACCACGGCTAGCGTCATGGGTTAATGAAGGACTTATCTGGGGGCCGCCCAAAGACGTGCCCTTGCTGCAGGACCGCATTCGAGATCTTCTAGAAAGAGATATCAGTTTGACCGTAGTGGCGCAAGTCATGCTGATTCACCGCACATTGCCCTGCAAACGTCGCCCTCTCCACCTGTGGGAATTTAATCCGGAGGGACCGTGAGTCCTCCAACATTTCATGGGTGTGACACCCGTGGAGATGTACAAATTGTTCTTCGGATCACAAGCAAGGTGTCCAGATTTGTCCGAGGACGCAGGTCTGAGCTGCAATCGCCCGGATGCTAAGGTAAGTAGCCCTGTATTTGGACACACCATCCGTATTTCTCGTCACAAAATTACCCTTAACAGAGCTGTCCTTTGAACAGGAGTGGATGGTGAAGGTGAAGCTTATCAGGTGTCCAGCCCCCCTGCCCGAGACCGCGCCGAATCCCATGCTTACCAGGATGCTGGAGGTCGTGCTTTTGGCGGAAGGCGAAGGGGGGAACCAAGGAGCTACCGCCTCCGCGAAGGAGGCTGTTAGGAAGGGAAGAATCAAAAATTCTCCCGACCAGGGAAAGAAAAGGACTGCCTCTGAAGACCCGGAGGTGATGGCCTCAAAACGGGGGAAGAAATCTTCGTGAGAGGGTTCGGCACCGGAGAATGCCCTGGCCGAATCGCCCCCTAAAGGGGACCCGCTCTCCCCCGAGACGTAAGTGAAGGAAGGGGTTCCATAATGAATGACACTCCTGTTTTATTTCTGAGGAAGATAACCGAAACGTTACCTTGCAGTTCGGATCTCAACCCTTCTCAGCAGAGCTCATCTTCAGGGGATCTACGTCCGGAGATGATAGAGAGCGAAACGCCTCCCCTTGTTGCACCGTCTCGTGAGGCAGGCGACCCCGAAGTGTCATCTCGGAGGGTTTTTCCAAGTACGGACTCTGGAAAAGGTCATCAGGCTAGTCCGGCACCCTCTGGTGCGCAGTCGGAGGGACTGGAGGATCTGCTTGGGAGGGCGTCCATCTCAGAAGAACACCGTATGTTGATGAATACGGTGATTGGAAGGATTTCATCCGTGGAAAGCGGATTGTACGAGGCTGCCAGGAGTTTACTAACAGGCTTTGAGGTACGTAAAAAGGTGTACCTTTTGGTAGAGCCGCATATTAAATGTGCCCTATATAAATAGTAGCCCCTGAGACTCTGTGTGTCGTCAAGAGTGACGGCGCATAGAGGATCATAACCCCAGGTATAATATGTCGCCTTTTCTATGAATGTGGCGAGGCGTTCGGTGGCTAGCCGGATTGATGAATCTGCCGAGTTAAAGAGGCAACTTGATGTAGCAGATGCCGACATCGTGCTTGTAAATAAGCGGCTAGACGAGGCACAAGGTATATTCCAAA